TATCAGCAATCCGGTGAATTCTACCGTTCCAATTGCGGCAGAGGTCTTTAAGAAGGCCGGTACTTACGACCCGAAGCGACTTTTGGGAGTTACAACTCTTGATGTTGTCAGAGCTAACACGTTTGTGGTATGCATAACCATATAAGTTAGATTATGAGAGAATCAATGTCCTTAGCACCATTTTATTGCATTCCTCATATTTTCTAATGGAACACCAAGAAATTTGCAGCATTTATGGTTTTTACTCCTTATATATGCGCTTTTTCTCGTTTCCCACAGGCCGAAGTCCTGGGACTTGATCCTAGAGAAGTTAATGTTCCGGTTGTTGGAGGTCATGCAGGAGTGACAATTTTGCCTCTTTTGTCACAGGTCTTCAATAGTATCTATAAACTTAACATGTTTTTCAGGTCTGATAATCAATCACAGTTAAATTTACTGGATTTAAATCGTTGCAGGTCAAACCTCCATGCAGCTTCACCCCCGAAGAAACAGACTACCTAACAAATCGCATTCAAAAATGGTGGGACAGAAGTTGTTGAGGTATAATAATGTTCTTGTTCTTTCTTGCAGAGATTGCGGAATCAACATATGAAATATATAGACAGTAGAAGTTAGAAACATCCTTCTATATTTCGTAGCTCTGTCTCCCATGTACCTCCCCTCTATTATTTTTGAGAAAAAGGAAAAAGCGGTTTAAGTTCAAACTCAGACTAGCTCCCGCTGTTAATACTTCAGTTGACTACTGTTAGATTCTTATGGACCTATCTGTATGCTTGGAAGTTACTTGTTAAATGAATAGAGGCTATTAAACTGAGAACAAGTATTATTGTTGTTATGGGAGATTTATTTAAAGAAGATGCATATTATTCTTACGGGATGTATATCGATATGTATCACAGCTCTAATTTTAAGTTTCATCTGTTCACTTATGCAGGCAAAAGCTGGTGCTGGATCTGCTACTCTGTCAATGGTTGACCTTTCTATCTTCAGTTCATTTTGCACCAGATTTTCCTTTATATTGTTTTAACATTTTAATGGATGAATTAAACTAAAGAGAAGAATTTACATGTTTATAGGCATATGCAGCTGTCAAGTTGCAGATGCATGCCTCGAGGCTTGAGAGGAGATGCTGGAATCGTGGAATGTGCCTTTGTAGCTTCCCAGGTACACTCTCGAACCTGTATTTCATGCCAACACTCTCTTCTTGGTCCTGCAATTTCACATTTTTCTACAACAATCTCGATTGCAGGTTACTGAACTTCCTTTCTTCGCAACCAAGGTACGACTCGGTCGTGCCGGAGCTGAGGAAGTCTTTCAACTGGGGCCTCTAAACGAATATGAGAGGTATATAATGTTAGAAATATGATTACTTCAGGCAGAAATAGTGCAGATTACTCTAATCGATTTCTGTTTGATTGTTAACAGGCTGGGTTGGAGAAAGCAAAGGAAGAGTTAGCTGGAAGCATTCAAAAGGGTGTTGCGTTCATCAACAAATGAACTTAGTGTTCTGCCCAGTGGGTGGTTTAATATATAGGCTTCTTTAATCTGTTAAAAGGGCTTTGTATATGTTTCGGTAATTCAATGAATCTCCATCGATCGAGACATAAATACCAATGATGTTTTCATTCTCTGGTTAATGCAGTCAATCTTGTACTTCCAGAATATAGTCATTCAAGCTCTGTTAGTACAACAATTTCTCCAAGAAACCATCCATATTCAGAGACAAGATATATACTCAATGAGATAATGGCAGTGACAAAACCGTGTTTAACTTTATATATATTGAAGGTATTAATGGGAATTTACATCTCTCAAACTATCAGTTTTCTGAGGGAAAAAAAGGAAAAGGTTAATCCATTCTTCTGTCTTTAGGAATTTACAAGGTGAAAGGATTCGAAGGAGGGTAAACAACAGGAGTGGTTGACATAGTTAAGTTCCCAGTCAGCACATTCGGTGCGATTGTATCCTCGATAACAACAGGGTCAACTTGTACGATTCTTTCCGGTATAACTTTCTCACCGTCGACCTTAGCAAGTACCTCAAAGTGCATATTCACTGTCTCAGGCTTTGTTCTCCACTCAGGAAACCCCTCCAAACTAAACCCATCTCCTTCTTTCAGCTTCTTCTCGATCCCAAAACCGAGCTTCACAAAGGTTTGAGCCGACACATCAGCCTTGAGCAACTTAAAGTGACCTTTCTTGTTTGCCTTTGGACCCAACACGGATGATAGCAATCTCTCGAAACCGACCAAATTGACATTGGAACCATTGACGGAAGCAAGAGGCCACATTGTGGCAAAGTGCTTCGGGGTTATAAGGGCTTCTCCTTGTATATCAATAGTGGAGAGTGCATCCACGGTCTTAGTTTTGGACATTGAAGACAGTTCCACAAGGCCAGGTGCAAGTCGCTTAAGCTTCAACTTGTTATTCGAAGACGTAGATGACGGGACAGTAAGGGAAGTCGGGCCAACAATGCGAAGAGAAAGGACCCGAGCATCTTGATTGCGAGAGGCATGACGAAGATGCTCTGTGTTGGTAATGCTCAATCCCACATAGTGTTGGAAACACTATTGGGAATGGTATTTAAGGCTTGACATTCCACTTCCTTGTTGAGTGATAGAGAACAAGGGGGGCTCTCGCGCACCGCCGCCGTCCGTCGTGGTCGTGGTCGTGGTCGTGGTCGTGGTCGTGGTCGTGGTCGTGGTCGTGGTCGTGGTCGTGGTCGTGGTAATACGTGTCTTCGACACGTCCGCGCGGATACTATCTTTTTACAGCTTTGTACAGAGGAGACAAGCTGTTAATATCAGGAGTTACAGGAGTTATTTGATTTAATTCCAGGGGTTACATGATATAATTTCGGGAGTTATAAATGAACCTGGACTATTTCTGAGTCAGGTTCATCTAGACGTTTAATCCTGAAATTTTATGGACGATTTTAACCCTATTTCTAGCCTATAAATAGAGAGCTATATTCAGCTTCTCAACTCACTCCAAAACATTTTACAATTCACTTACAAAGTGTTTTCTAAAGTTCTCTCCGTGAGTTCTCTCTGAGTGCTTTCCGATCAGAAGTACAATACCACCAGCAGTCCACTCCGGTTTCGGGTGTACGGAATTTGGAGCGACCGTGTTAACCTCGGGGGACGGTCCGCCTACTGCAGCGATTACACACATCGAGGCGAATTCGTTTCTAAGGCAGTGGTTCTTACCACGACACGGTTTACGAATCTGTTCTTCTTAATTACTGTTTATATTTTCAGTCAGTGCTAACGGTGTAGTTTTGCAGTTCATATATCCAACACTCTGCAAGGGCCATAAGCCCGGATGCAAATCCATTATTGGTTGTGTTAAGAGGTAGCGGAAAATCTACGGAATGGCGCAGGCTAACCGATCTTGCTCCCTTGACAGTCACCACGGCACCATCAGCTAAAATTACCTTCTTCAAGACACCAGCATCCACATCGTGCTGCAGGATCGAACAATCAACAAGGTCAATAAATAGACTTCAAACGATTGTATATAACAAATTAACAACATCTGATTTCAAAGGCAAACAAAAAAAAAATCTAGGGATTCCTAAGTACTAAATTCCCAAATCAAAACTTCAAAGAAAAAAAGAAACTTTTGTTTTAAAAAAGCTCACCGGCAACGAGATTCGCATATCTTTGGCGTCCTGAAGCCAGAGTTCCATGGGTCCAGCCAGCTGAAACGGGGCCAAAACGGGTAACCCGTCGTCCGAAACCACCTCCTGCTCTACCAACCCATTTTCAGCTCCGGGTCTACCCGGCTCTTCCACCCTAAAAATGGGCAAATCAACGTATTCCCAACGATTAACATCCTCCAAAAGCTTAAAAGGAATCACTTTATTATCGATTTCGATGTCGAATTCATATGCCACCGAATGTCCCACAAGGGCATCACTCAGATCGAACCCAGAAAACTTAAAATCATCGGCTTGGAACCCCAATCCCTTCAAAACCGATTCTTTCAAATCCTAAAAAAAATCCCAGAAACAAACCTATCAAACTCATCCTGAATTGAATCCCAAAATAACCAATGAATAGAACAAGCAATAATAAAAAAACTTACAGAGATGGCCTTAGGAGGAGAGGAAACCAAGGCGTGGGAAGAGGATATGATCGTAAATAAAACGAAAGCCAAAGGTAGAATGCGATAAATTGAACTGAGGACCCTCATCGTCGTCCGTTCACCGCAAAACAACTCCGTAAAGGCAGAAAGAGAATCGAATTCGGAGGTGAAGGGTGGAAGAGTTATTTGATATTTTAATTCTATGCTGGATTCAAGTTTTTTATAGATGAACGTGGGATGTAGGGGAGGTGACGTGGCGTTAAGTAACCAATTAGAAGTCATTAACTGATTCGAAACACGATTGTGATTGGTCTCGGATTCCTCAGCGTTGGGCCCCATTTCCGTGTTTCATGGTTGATTGACGAAAAAGGAAAAGATAAGGGTACCGAACTACGCCGTTTCAACGATTAGATAAATAATATAATAAATAATAATCATGAAAGGTTTAGAATATTCTCCAAGATAGTGGTAGAGTTCTAATTGTCTCTCATAAAATTTTACAGTTTAAATACAAAATAAGTTCTACATTATACCGTTTTCTAATGAATAGACGTGTAAAGGTTTTATTTATCTTAATATTTAACGTTATAAACAGGATAAAATATATAATAAGTGTCCAAACCGATATTATCATTTTAGGTATTTTTTTTATAAGTAAGATTTTTATTTATCCAAGTAAAAAAATACAAAGTCTCAAAGAAGGTCAAAGACCACTCTACAACAAAAAAATTAGGCTATATTCCAATTGTTACAAAGAAGCATATTAACATTATCCAGCCTATTGAAATCTCTATTCATATGTTGAAGTCGTACTGTCTCTTTTATAGAACCAAGCAAGTCTTCAACAGTTTAGAATTTGCCTCGAAATATTCAACAGTTTCTCTCATCCCAAACTTTGTAGATGAAAGTACATCAAGCAATCTTCATGATTGAGGTTAAGAGAGACTTACCTTTCCAAGTTGATGTAGCCCAAGCAAGCTTGATTTCCCATGACATTTGAGGAACGGACAGATTAGACAGGTTCAAAATATCATTCCAAAGAGAAGTGACCACAGTGCAATCAGCAAATAAATGATTTCTCGTTTCAAGAGCATCATTACAGAATACACAATAACCATACGAAGGAGTCTTTCCTAGTTGGGAGTCTATCAAAATTGCCAACCAAATAATAACACTAAATTTAGGGGTGTGAAGGGGAAACCAGATAAGCTTTTGCCAAGGGACTTTATCATGTTTGTGTCTAACTTCTTCCCAAATCCCTTTAGAAGTCGTAATACCAGCATTAAGAACGGGGATGGCTTCATCTTTCGGTCTCAAAAGTTTTTTGGAGATGTAGCTAGAGGAAGCACTAGTAGACATTTGGCTAAAGTCATTATTTTTATAATATAAGAATAAGTCTAAGCAATCCACAAAGAACCTTGATCGGCAAGAAGGTTGTGAATTAACAACATTAACACCATTTTAGGTATTTGGTATGTTAACGGGATTAATTTCTTGCATTAAGTGACACATGTCACAATATAGTGGTTTTAAAATTATTTTTTTAAAAAGAATATTTAAAAATATTATTATATTTATAAAAAACTTTAATTTCTCTTAGATAATAAAAAAGTCCCAAAATCCATAAAATTTTCAAATCCTAACTTTAGCCCGCCACTACTGCCTTTTCGATCACGACTACCGTCACCGACGTAGTCTCTGTCATCCTCCTAGTCATACGCTGCTATAGCTGTCGTCGATTGGTCGTTAGAATCGCTTGGGATCACAATTTTCATCCTAAGTTTTACGGGATATAAAACGTCGATTCGCCGTCGATTGGTCATAATTTCATAGGGATTTGGTTGTCGGGGGAGGTGAGGTTGGGTGGAGTTTCTTCAACGGCAAAGGGCAACGACCAACGTAGGTTTAAGAGTTGAAATGATGATTTTTAAAGTTTTGAGGTTATTCAATTTTTTTATGTTTTTTAAATATATAATTTAAAAAAAATTAAAATTATCAGCTATAGCTGTCGTCGATTGGTCGTTAGAATCGCTTGGGATCACAATTTTCATCCTAAGTTTTACGGATATAAAACGTCGATTCGCCGTCGATTGGTCATAATTTCATAGGGATTTGGTTGCGGGGGAGGTGAGGTTGGTGGAGTTTCTTCAACGGCAAAGGGCAACGACCAACGTAGGTTTAAGAGTTGAATGATGATTTTTAAAGTTTGAGGTTATTCAATTTTTTATGTTTTTTAAATATATAATTTAAAAAAAATTAAATTATCAGATTGTGACAGGTGTCATTTAACAGGAAAAGTAACACCATTGACGACTCGAACACCTAAAGTAGTAATGTTTGTAACTTTAGATATCGAGATGAGTTAAAAAAATACTTTAGATAAATATTCGTGAAAAGCGATATAGTTTGAATACTTATTTTATATTTAAGCATATTTTATTCTTAGGGAAGAGTATGTATAAAATCGACTTTTCTTTTGATTTGATTTTCTATTAAACGTAAAATTACAATATTAAAGAAATTGTTAATTAATCACACATTCACAATCCATTCAACGCACCAGTTAATAATTTTATTTAAAAATCACCCCAAAAATAAATAATAAAATATTGATTTGTCATCATTTCCCTAAGATTTATAGAATAACACCCTTTCTGACAAAAGAGGAAGAAATATGATGTAGAGAAAGACACGTGCATGGGCACGCCTTCCCTGTGTTTTGCTCAGCTAGTGCCACGTGGAAGCATGAGACACACCTTAAAGGTGCATTTCTAGACACATGTCTTTTAATATCATTTCGGGTTTAAGGTTGTATGATTTAGGTTTTTTGGGGTTAAAGTGGGTTAGGGTTAGGGTTTTATGTTAAATGGTTTAGGGTGTAAGGTGATTTAGGGTTTTTTTTGTTTATATAGTTTATGGTTAGATTAAAATTAAAATCTTGATAGTAAGAAATAAACCTTAAACTGAAAATAATGAATCTTAAATATTAAATTGCAAAAAAAAAAAAACAATATCTTGTAAAATAATAGAAAATAAAACCATATTAATTGAAAGTACAAGAAAATAAAATCTCATAAATTGAAATATTAAAAATACAATTACATAAGTAGTGGTCACAGTTAAGCGATTATAAAAATATGAACTTTTTTTATTATGGCCTTGATTTCTGCAATGTCCACCTTTTTATTTTCTTTTGGCGTCTCTCAAATATTCATATCACAATGAATTCGAGTAAATTTTAGATGATCTAAATCTCTTAATAAGAACGAATTTGGTATAATTATAAGAAGTTTAAATCTCATTTGTGTTTTTTATTACCTATATATGGTGAAACTCAAATTCATATACCTTGATACTTATGAAAGTTGGTATACATATAAACATAACTTTTATAGTACAAATGAGAATGTCAGCAAGCTACTATAACATGGGAGCTGGATACTTCAAAGTTGAAAAAACCCACAGTTACACCATTTTTCTTCTAGATTAACTCTGAAAGAGTTAGATTCTGAGTTGAATCTTTCTTTTTATTGTCAACTTCAACTCGTCCAATTGATTTTTTTAAAACATGTTTAAATATTTGCAATCATAATAACAACTGTAAGAATATTATCATGTTAGCAAAAAAAACTTAAGTTTTGGAAGTGAAAGACTCAATTTTTTTGATGTTTCTACTTCAACTGAGTAAAATAGCTAACACATATTTATAAGCCCTTAAGATTTATTTCCTACGGTCAAGATTTAATTTTAATATAATCATAAACCATTTAAACAAAAAGAATTCCAAAACCTTTTTACTCTACAAAAAACCCTAACCATTTTAACATTTAAAACCCCTAACCCTAAACCACTTTAACAAAAAAAATTAAATTATGAACCCTATATCGATAGTTAATTAAAAAACGCGTCCCTTGAAACAAGTCTTCTGCCATGGCGCCAGCAAAGCAAAAACTTATGGAAGGCTACAACACGCCTTCCCTCCACATTAGCAAGGTGCATTCGTGAAACGTCCCTCTCCTCTTTTTATCAGAAAGGGTGACACTCCGGTAAATATTAGGGAAAGGATGCCATATCAATATTTTTTAGGTGACTTTTATATGAAATTACGGTAAAATGTATGTCATTTTTATTAAACTAAGGTGATATATAGTAGTATATGTTCTAATATTCTTAACTAGAATGCTTAATCACTTTTTCCGTTGTTCTTGCTCGAACGTATAATCTCTAGAAACATAACGAATTATTTAACAACTGAAATTATTTAATTCATATATGTCATTCGTTTCGATTGTCCAATTAAGTCCCTATTTTCAAAGGCAACTTCACAATCATCATCAAAGAATATGCCATGTTTTTATTTTCTTCTGCTTTTACAAATTTGGGATTTTCCCAGACCACAAACATTACCAAAAACACACACATGGCAATGGTTTAGATTCAAGCAAACATCACACAACTTTACTTCATTAATGCTTTTCAAACTATTACAATAAGAAAGAGGCCCAAGATTCCTCTAAAACACTCCAACAAAGGCTACTTTGTCACTCTAAAGCAAGAAGGAATTAACATGGCCCAACAGCAGGGGACCATGCAAAAAAAGTTTGACTGAAAACAACCCTCCTGCAAAAATCAACTAACGGTAGCTTGATGATGATGATGGTCTTCAATGGCGGAGAATTAAAAACCCTTTGTTTTTCCAGATATTATTCTTTAGTTTTTAAAAGCTTATTATATAGTGTATGGTAGTTGAATGGAGATCGTCATTCACATGAGCCATTCAAAAGCTGCTCGGAGCTTATTCACCAGATCCTTTCCTGTCATACAGAATTCTTTATCCATCTGCCATGAAAAAAAAAAGAGATTATAGTACATGAAATAATGATTGCCGTTGTTTCAGACAAGTTGTTTAAGTACCTGAGCGACAATGGTTATGTCGAGAGCACAGCTCCCGAATGTCATGGCATGCTGTTAATGACTGTTAGGTGAGATTTCTCGATTTCAGACATGATTTTCTCGGCAAGTCTTTCTTTTCTCGCAGTGGATTCTTATGAGGACACTTTTGTCGCAAAACCTCGCTTCGATCTCCGGTAAAGGCTCGTTAAAGGGACCACTGGAGTTCTGGTCCGACCAAAAGTCGTCAATATCGGCGGAGAGTTGGGATCTCTTCACGAAAACTACCGACTCCATTGATTTCTTTCTGGTCTGCTCCTCCAGCGTCTTCACTTTCTCCTGCAGTTGTTTCAGGTACTTTATGGCATCTCCGAGCACCGATGCCTTGTCCATCTGTACCCATTGCAAAATTATGCAAAACACAATCACTGTGTGTATGTATGTATGTGTGTATATGATATGAGTACCTTTTTTAAGCCAGGGACTATGGAAGACAAAGCTATGAACCTTTGGCTGAGCTTTTCTCGGCGTTTCCTTTCGGCCATGATATGATCATGTGTCTGGGAAATTCTCTTAGATCCATGGCAACCCTTAAGCAGATAATTCTGGTTTTGAGGAAACAAGGGCTCCATGTTGTTAGAACAAGCAGCCTCATTTTAGGCTTCAAAATACCCATTGGATTCATGTGGTTGTAACTGGCAAAAGCAGCAGCTTCGAGGTTTGGCATATCAGCTGCATGATCAGCTTTGCATGGATTCCAGCAGTTGGTTTTAAGCACTTTTCGAGGCCTTTCAATGGCGGCAGCCGGATAAGAGAAAGCGTCGTCTCCAAAAGCAGGGAAGAAACTGAGCTCATCGAGAGAGTTGACATGCCACTGATTCAACAGGTAAGGATTCTCCATTTCCTGTGGATTACAAAAAACAGATGAATAACACTAAGAAGAAGATGAGTTCAAAAGAGACTTACAAACTCAGGCAACTCTCGATTTGATGAAATCTCCATTGAAAACTCCAGCAAACCAGGAACTGGGCTGAACTGAACCAACTTTCAGAACGTTTGTCTGTTTATATAAGTCCAGTCGTATCACGGGGTGGTGTTGATGTGAAATACACCATTGAAATACACTAAATGACAACAAAACAGCTTTTTATATACACGAGTTTGCTGACAAATGGAGCTTGCTTATGAACAATTTCTTCATCTTTTTTTTTTTTTTTTTGCAGTCTTTTAATGAGCATCTTCAACCGGTGGTTTGAAAATTTGATTCAGCTGAAAACTCCCCCAATCACCCAAGCAGGGAAACATTGTTTTGATAAGGCGATGCACGTATGAGCAAGGGATACATGTGTTTAATTGTGATTGGTCCAGCAATGAGTGTTGACTTGCTCGTAAGTCCAGCCAATCAGGTGACGAAAGGTGTCGGAGAGTGGTGCAGTAGATGAAGATACTTGCCCGTCACACCGGCCTTTAAAGATGCCGGTTAATGAAGGGCAAATGAATAATGAAGCTTCTAACTGGGGGCATGTTTCGGGTTGGGTTTAGTTAGGTCAGATTTTTAGTCCACCCGATTCGATCCCAGAATAAAGAGTCCTCCACTCGAGTTGACCCGATCCGACCAAAAATAAGTTTTCACTCGACCAACCTGATATATAATTTAAAAATCCCCGATTCAACCCGAAATAATAAAAATATTTTTATTTTAATAAAAACAGTGACTTAATAGAAAATAATATATAGAGATACTATTATAATTATTTATAAATATAGGGTAAAATTATATATTTTTCAGGCCGGTCAGGTATTTTCACCCTAAACTCCAATCCGACCAGACCCGAACATCAAATTAAAATAAACCCGACCAGACTCGAGGGTCGGGTCGGGTCGGACCCGTTAGGTTTGGATACTATGCACATCCCTACTTCTAACTATATGCTTACATTATGGCTTAAACCAAAAAGAAATCCCTAAACTATGTCTTTTTTTATATTTTAGTCTCTTATTTCTTTATCGAAATAAATCTTTAAAGTATTAATATGGATCAATTAAGCTTGCAATTTATCAATGGTCATTTGTTATTGAAATATGAATTCACTTTAATTGAATATGATTTGTCAGGTGTGGAAGGGGAAGAGATGATGTATTAAAATATATACTTTTTAGTAAATTCGATATAGAAGTTTGTACTAAATTAGTAGTAAATTATAACATTTAATTTATTTATCCACTAATTTTTATTGAACACAATAACATTTTATTATATAAATAATTTATTCAATTTAATATATTTTAATAATATTAAACTTTAAATATCTGGTTTAACATTGTATTCTATTAAATTAATTAATAATTATTGCATTCGAATTACATGTCATTGGTAATAAGACATTGGCAGTTAGAGGTGAGCACATACTGTTGACTGGGTAACATTTGCATAGGAAGCTGCTTCTACCATTTGGTGAAGTAATCTATGGCTACCAGAATGAAACGATTACCATTTGAAGCTTTGGACGAAATTTATTTAATAACAATTATGCCCTATATTAAGAATGTCCACGGAGTTGTCATTATATGTAACGGATGAGGAGGAGTATGTATCTTATCTCTATAAATCTGACAATTTATGACATTTTCGGGCATAACTAATACAGTCACTTTCCATAGTTGACTAATAATATCTAAATCATAATCTGCCTAGTCATAACATGCCCATCAGCATGGGTACCATATATTTCTTCATGCACTTTTTCAAGAATTAACTTGGCTTCTTTCGTGTCCACACACCTTAACAAGACCTGATCCAGGTTTTTCTTGAATAGTGTCTCACCGTCAAGCACATACCCTGATGTCATTCTTCTAATGGTTCGAGTCAAAATTTTTTGAGTTATTCGAGTTGGCGAGTTGTAATTTATAACTCGAATTTAACTAATACTTCTAGTATAACCAGATTCGTAGACGACTATTTCCTGTAAATGAAAACGGGATTAAGAACACAATGTAGATCAAACAAGCTTCTATTTTCTCCTTCTCTAAAGTCTAACCAGGAAGCAAATAGAAGAGGGTTTTTTTTTTTGCATCTTTTACCACGTCTTTGTTCTGGTGATAATGCTCAGGGTCCGTGTATATGAACGAGTGGGACTGGGATGTGTATATCTACTTCGTAATGAAGGCCAACTATAGTTGCTCTAACATCAAAATCTTTGAATAGTTCAGAGAAACAAAGCTAAAAGTAGGAAAATGTACTCTTCATTTACCTGGAAGCCTGTATTATGGAATATTGAAGCTTGTGGTTTTGTTTTGGATGATATGCAGTGCAACACATTGTTGGCATTCTTCCCTCAGCGTCTAGCAACAATGATGATAATGTGTTTGGAGGCAGACCTCAGACCATAACTTCAACGTTTCTTCTGCATATGAAACCTTGAAGTCTCAAACTTGGTCCTCTCAGATGCTAGTTGGCGTTTGTTCTGGAAAATGCAAATACCTCAACGGATCTGTGTCTTCCTTTGAAAAATTCTTCATGGGAGGCTCATGACGAACCAGGAACGTAACAAAAGAAGACTTTCCAATGATGCTTCCTGCTCCTTCTGTGGTGATTCTGAATCTATCTTACACGCTCTTCGAGATTGTCCTGAAATTAAACAGTTATGGTCGAATGTTATCCCCTCAGCTTTACGTGGTGCCTTTTATTCTCTCGATTCGCTTTTAACCCTCAGGTTCAGATCAACCAAGAAGGTCAACCCTAAACCCTCGACTACATAATCGTCTTCGAAGATACTTCCGGCAAGATTTGGTGTTCTCTTAGATTTCTCCTTGGCATGATATTCCATTGCAATTGGGAGATGGTGTTTTTAACTTCATTGTTGAGATACCCCAAAGAATCAAGCGCAAAAATGGAGGTTGCTACTGATGAACTATACACTCCCATTAAGCAAGATACAAAGAAGGGCAAGCTTCGATATTACCCGTAAGATTTTCTGGTTTTAATTCTATTTTTTTAGCTTCTTTCTATTGTGAGTTTTCATTGTCTAGCCTAGTGTGTTTCTTTAGAAGGCTTTGTTTATGAATATTCCATTCATTGTCCCTCAGCTATAATATAAACTGGAATTATGGATTGCTTCCACAAACATGGGAAGACTCATCTTTTGCCAACTCTGAAGTTGAAGGAGCATTTGGTGATAAGGACCCTGGTACTCCTATTACTTGTTCCACTATTTGATTTTTTTAAATAACATTCTCTTCTTCTTTTGTTGTGAAAAGCTGCTTTTGAAATCTTGATGTTATTGTTTCGTTGGATCCGTAGTTGATGTTGTCGAGATTGGTGATGCCCAGGGAAAGATTGGTGAAGTTCTGAAGGTTAAGCCCTTGGCTGCTTTAGCCATGATCGATGAAGGGGAACTTGACTGGAAAATAGTTGCCATCTCATTAGATGATCCAAAGGCTTCTCTTGTGAATGATGTCAGTGATGTTGAGCAGCATCTCCCGGTACTTCTCTCCATACTTCTGCAGGGTTTTGTTGCAGTGGCCAGTTGAACTTGTTATGGAATAAGCATGGTTATGCCACTTACAATTGCAAAAACTTCTTGAGCATCCATCTGGTGATATTTTTCAGGGGGCTCTGACTGCAATTAGAAATTGGTTTAGGGACTACAAGATCCCAGATGGAAAACCAGCTAACAAGTTTGGTATTGGCAACAAGGCAGCAAGCAGGGTGTGTATTCGATTTGTTTCATTTTCCCTACCCGAGTGCCTCTGAGCTTATTCCAGTTCTGCTCTCTTACATTATGATGCATGATGACAGGAATATGCTAAGGTCATTACAGAGACTAATGAGTCTTGGGCTAAACTTGTCAAAGATCGATTCCCGCCGGAGAACTTTCGCTCATATAACTACTACCCGGAGCATTAGAGGCAATGCTTTCAAGTTTCAACTTCAAAAAAAAAAAGTGTTTTTCGCCTTTGGAAAGCATGTCTTGGTAATCATATGACTTTGATACCAATGCATTTCTATCTGCTTATTATTTGAACACATTTGAATTCCTTTTTTAAAAAACCGGGACAGGATTTCATATTCATATGGTTGTTCTGTTGTGGATAAGTTCTAGCAATAGGCTTCAACCTAATGAGAAATTGGACAAAGGGTTTGAACAATGTAATGGTTTAATGTTTGTGATTTCAGGGAATAAAATGTTGTCAGAAATAACAATTGCCATTTATAAAATGCTAAAGTCTCTTGTAAACCTATACAACTCCAGCTTCAAGTAAAGGAGTTGTATTTGATCCATCAACATCAGTAACTTGTCCTTCACCATCTTCATTGAACCTATCCACACTGTGAAGAAATGTTCCTGCCATTGCAACATATGTGGTAGTCAATATTCAGCCATGCAAATTTCTTAATCACATGAATTAATACTATTTGAAATTCACAACTTTTCCAAGTGTATAACCTATGCCCATTTTTGCTTGTTTCTTTCAGGGGGGAAAAACACCAGGGACATGACAATTGAGAATACCTATAAACCATATCCCAGCTGCTGGAAACAGAATCGATGTTAGAATAAGGGAAGTTCCTCTCCAATTGTTCAAAGTGTCCTGCAAAAACCATACAGTTTTGAAATTCATTTTTAAATCTCTCTCTCTTTGGATGGATGATGGGAGTTTGTGGCATGAATCAAAGGTACATTCAGAATTTGTTGAAAGACAAACCTGGAGGACCCCCACGAGTGGCGAAGAGGGCACATCGCCGAATATGTGAATCGAGACGGTAGAGATAGCCATAGATAATGGCCTCAAACTTGGCTTCACAGTGTGTAGAAATATGTAATTTACAGGACCCTGAAACAGGAAAGAGTTTAGTAACTTTGTACCAAGTAAGTCTTTAGTTAAAGCTTCATAACATGCCATTTGTAGTAATAACATAAGTGGAAAAGCTTTTTAATGTCTCAGAAAACAAGATTTATATGTTAATTTACAAATGTAATACATCATTTAATTCCTACATATCTTGAAACAAACTCCATCACCCCTAGGTTGTTCCCGTCAAGAATGCATTCGGAGTTTTCCGGATCAAGTATTCAACTTAGTAGACAGATATTGAATCAGTTACTAGCAGCAAGTAAACTACATGATGGTTCATCCGAATAAAAACGTAAAGCCACAATAGCAAATAACTATTACGTGTGAGGGTTCGGTTTTGCTTTAGGAAATGAGATTACCTGAGTGGCAAAGATCAGTAATTCACCAACTGATAAAAGAGCTAAGAAAGCATACATGTTCTTAAACCAAAAGGCAGTGAAACAAAAGGTTGCCCCGATAAATGTTGTTATAGAGAGAAGCTGCAAAAGAAGAAAAAAAGTTCAGGGAATGAAGAACACGCTAACAGCACCGGAGCGGAAGCATGTAATTTACTACTATATATGCATGAAAACCTACTTTGAAAGCATTGGGGATAGTGGAAGTCATTAAATCCAGAATGTAGCCTCCTGCTAGTGTGCCGAATATCCCACAGACAACGGTTATTCCTCCAAATATCATGTCTGCATCACTCTGCAAGAAGACCCTAACTTGAACTTTATCGTATCACCGAGTTATTTTGTTCATTTACTTTGGTATGATTCTTAGTCCCATTCGAAATTTGTCGATTTATCCGAAATGACATAAATTTTAAGCAATGATGGATCTTATACATTAATTTATGAAGTAGATTGATGGTCAAATTGGCCGTAAAAGCTTACCATATTATAAATATTGTAAATCGCCTTAGGCCCCCAATAAGAATAAGCCCCTAGAACAAAGTTGTATGCACAATAACCTGAAAAATGGCTGTTCTCAAGTTAGCTTGTGTCCCAAAATGAAGTTCTTTCGAAGATACGTAATTCAACAAGTAAACAACTCATTGAACCAGAAACACAGAAATTGCATAAAAATTTTCAAGAAAAAGGAACTTAAAATAGAAGTTCTGCATGATTGTTTTCAGAGATGCAATAATACAACTCAAAAGCAATATGGACATACCTAAAACATTGACAACATAAACTTTGTCAACCAAGAGTGCTGTCATGTCTTCAACAAACGTTGACAACCGATTTGAATCAATGGATGCACATTTCATCCTGTCCAGATAAACATTCAAAGATGTGGAAATTTTTCAGACGAGTTTTCAAACCGAAATCTCCGTGATGAACTTACTATATGAATAAGATTTGCTGGCAATCGTGGGGTAAAGATACAATGAAGCATAGATATTAACGAGAACGAAGCACAAATATACGTTAGTCCAGTTACTCTTTTGTAATAAGAAATTTCTGCTATACAACATAAAGGCCTATAAATAAGCAATTATATAGATCATACACTATGAACTTCAAGACAGTGGTTCTCACTTGGAAAACATTTTGCTGAATTCTTCCTTCATGGGTTTTGCACTACCTTTAACATTTGAAGCCTCTGTATCTTCATCAGGAATAAGAAAAACGATAAGTACATCGGAGGGCAGATTATGAAAACAGGGTTTATGCATTGTTTAACTTCTGTTGAAACCTAAAATGTGCACTTAACAAGAAACTGTGACTGAAAATAGAAACAGCAAGCAACTTACTGAATCACATTGCACATAAGGTGAACTATTTGGGCAATGATTTAACCTCGAACCTAATTCGGAGAAACATTACTTCTCAAGAAAATCTTTTCCAAAGCAAATCTTAGATTTTGGCTATTGCAAGACCAAGTAATTGGAGTGTATGGTGAAAGTAAGACATTCTAAAGGCTTTATATTTTGATAACTGGTATGTTCTTATCTGGTAAATAACAGAATACAGTTTTCAAGAGGCAGGTGCTGAGGTGCAACAAGAATGTCTATAATGCAGCACCTTGAACTTCCGGTACAGCGATATCTTCGGAGATCAGTGCTTTCTTAGATTCAACAGTAGCAGAACCTGTACCACATAATCATTAGAAAATAACTGCAAGAAGGCCTCTAGGAACAATCAGAGTAGCTAAGGATCCGAAGTTCACACCTTTCAAATGCAAAGGTTTCATAACAAAACCTAGAATAGCAAATGGAAGCATCAAAATAGCTTCAACCCAGAATGCAAAACGCCAGTTCAAATGATTGCCAACCTGTTCCAAAAGAAATCTTGCCGTTCACTCCTCATCTCGATTTTAATCTATGAACTAGGAAGGAAATAAGGAGATTGGTTTGAAAGAAAGAAGTTATAACTATAAAAGAGCTTGAAAATAAGACTTACTAATCCGCCATATACATAGCCAAGTGCATATCCAGTCGGCATACACATGTAAAATATTGCCAGCCAAGCTGTTTTCTGGAACAAAGGAGGGAGATGTTATCAACAAATTTTCTGGTAAAAGTTTCAAAATAGATACAAATTGCATTTTGCATATAATTCTCAAACTCAATAGTCAATATCAAGATGACTGAGATGGATATGCATGAGTAAACAATGAGATTGAGCTCTGAAAGGCTACTAAATTTTCCCAATGGGACCATACCAAAACAAATAACTTTAGGATTCATGTTAATATACCTTTCTGCCTCATGATCTTAATTCAAATTAATAAGTATACCTTAACATACATCAACTTTAGGATTCACATTATGAAGGAAAATCTGTCTTAGATAAGTAATCAACATTGCAAATGCAGTAGTTCCAAAGGAAGAAAATATTGAACAACTGCAAGAGGTATTCAACTTACTTTAATATGAACCGTCATAAGTTCGGATGAAAATAAAATAGACAAAACATAATGCACACACACATACACATATTTGTATGTATACTTCTAGCTGAAATAGAGCAAATCTCGAAATTAGTAAAAGGCGCAGCCAGGCAGGTATGTCCCCTATTTGTCTCTATATTTCATACAAGAAACCATCATAAATCAGGAAACAAATTAAGCGCAGACAAATATAATATCCCTACAATTATAACCTGAGTAATAGGGGCATTGTCATCAATGAAAGGAGCTGCAAAACTGATAAATGAAGCTTCACCAATACCACCTAGCCTAGAAAGAGCTAACATTAGTTCAATGATCTTATTATCTCAGTGCTAACATAATCAAAACTTTAAAAATAAATGAAGAAAAGAAGGAACAAGAAATAAACTTACATGCGGCAGATAGTGATGGACCAGAAATTGAACGAAAAGCCGCAACCAGCGGTAGCCAAAGTCCATACAGACAAGCCAACTCCAATAAGTCTAAATGGATTAACACTGCAAAAATTTTGTAAATACAGTCAACCTGTCGTCACCATGATCATATCAAACAAAACATATTAAACCTGAATCATAAAACCTAAAACTTGTTATAATCTCAAATAACTTATATGGAAAACTGTGGTCCTTGAAGATCATATTCATACTGATTAGACCATATCAGACTACAATGAATATGAGCAAAACAGTTAAACACCATGGAAGCAACATTTATCTGACACATGCATGCAAAATTGCTTGAAAAAAAAAGTAATTAGTTCCAGCCTTTACCCACAAAGATTTAAAGTAATTCTCATTTGGCACAAGCACATGTACGTACTGAAAAAACATTACATCAAGAATGAGGCTTCTGTTCAACATTAGAAGATTAACAAGAAAAGTATAGCCAAACCAAATGATTGAAACTTAAAAACATATGATACTTATAAGTGGATGTTTGCCCCATGTTTATACAACATATGCATATGATATATGGCCTTCTTTAATGAATTAGTAGACTATTGAAGCTCCTTACCTCTTTGATAATGATGCAAATATGGGAGAAGCCACGAGAAGTCCAACCATAAATGCAGATGATAGAAATCCATCTTCAAAATTGTTCAAGTTGAATTCACCCCTATAGAGAACAATGAACTGGAATAAAACAAAGAGTTCAAAGGTCTCAAAATGAAGCCGGCAAGGTATTTACATCTCAATCATGCATATAGAGGTGTAGAACACATATTAGTTGGTATTGTAGTTCTTTTCCAAGTATACATGTCCACATTGAACCAAAACTAATTCATTCTTCCGGTCTAATGCTAAAAAAATCACATACTATGAATTCCCTAATTTATGTTTGCAACAAACTAATCTCTCAATAGATTCCCGTGTCCCAATTGAGGGAAAATGAAACAAATTGACGACGTATCAAAAGATATTTACAACTGTTTCCCCATCCAACAATACAAGCTAATAAGGAAAAAAATAGGATCTCCAATTCTTACTGTATTCCACTACCAGAAGTGCATGTACCACTCGATGTGCAAGTTCCAAGACTTCCGTTGACACCATTGCTTGCTATTGCTCCTCGATCCACATAATTTAACAAGTTGATAGCACAAAAAATAGCTAGCAACCTGCAAAAAAAAGTGTCCAAAGCACCACTATAATTTCCATGCACCACTCACAAAATCTGCTTACAGTTACAGATCCCAGCTTTTGCATTATCACAGCCATGATATATAACTATTGAATTTAAAAGAAACCCAAAATGCCACTCAACTTGTGTGCTCATCCCTAACGACATATAGCATATTACATTATCAAGTGCAATAGTCTATGACAACCAAAAAAGAGCATCGATCTTTTCCTTTCCTAGTCTTAACATAAACTGTATATTTGCATAAAGTTGTTCTCCTAAACAACTGAAAACTTAAACATCCAAAATCAATGATAACAAGGAAAACAATATTTTGGGAGAGAAAACAAGGAAAATAATAATAATAAGATACCTTTGGGGTGTAAACCAGGAAGGGTGTCTAGCTGAAAACGGCACTAAACTCCCTGCCATGTCTGTCTACGGAAGCTTGTGATTCTCCTTCTTCTACTTGTTCCGTTGACTTATAATAGCAGGTGGTCTGTCATTGATGTTCATGGATATTTTATCATCTCTGACTGTACTTTGAAGGGTAGTTAATGACAAAATAAAGTAGGTGAAACAATTTAGGTTAGCTTTAACCTCTAACAAAAGTTGTTTAATAGTTTTATATTGAGAAAGAATTGTTTAATAGCGTCGCATCAAGAGTGCTCCCGTAGCTTAGTAGGTTAGAGCGTTAGTTTTATGAGCCGAAGGTCGCGAGTTCGAAACTCGCCGGAGGCAGTTTTCATAGTTATTTTATTAATCCAATTCCTTTTTTTTATGCCTTGGTTCAACTATTGTGACCAACTATATGTAGCATTAACCAAGGCTGAACATAACATTACGGTTGAAGAACAGATAAAAATTATCAATTGAAACATGGTATTCTTCAAGGGGTCTGTCAAACAAGCAACTACTGTTTTGATTCCACTCGCCGCCATAAAAATGTATCGGCGACTGCAACCTCCAGAACTTGAGGGTGGTCTTTTAGGAACCTCCTTTTGAATGGTGTGAACCATATTTCCAAGAACGTCTTAGAAACCAGTGATGCAGTACCATTCATCTGCAACGATATCGGCATCCACTCGGTAAGCTCGTTTTCGTTTATCTTGAGCAGAAACCTCAGACTGCTTCGGCTTCCAGCTTTTTCTGTAAAGCACAAGCATGTGAAACATAAAACTAAGACAGACCAATGAAACGACATAAGAATCCATTTTGGAAAAATGGTTGCACGTCATGGCATTGGAAAGGAACTTTGCAAACATTTAAGTCAGAAACCAGTTTACTGATCAAAACACCATTTAAAACTGGATAATAACAGCGATATCAAATCCGACTCGACATTCCAATTCGGATCTGTTGAGTTCCAAGGTCATCCTACATCTCTTGATGTTAAATTTACAGGACAAAACTGCGCTATTCCAACCAAAAATCCATCAGTCATGGGCTCATGGCCACTACAATGCAAACCCTTGTTCAAAAAAGATCCAGAGAATAGGCAAAACTAAATAACATTAAGAATAGGCAAAAAGTTACATGATGGCAGCATTAATGAAGGTCGTGAATGATCCATGGTTGCTTCAAAATGATTTTCCTAAGTGCAGTTTTGAGTGTTAAACCTATGGATCGTAGATGAATTCCTCAACACCATTTTTCGACCCTCTTCTCCGACTTCTACACATTCATCTCCGATAAAAAAATATATCTTTTAGGCAGCAAGATTCAATATACTAACAGCCAACTCCCTCTGATCTCCAAGAGACCAGCCAGTCTTACGCCGTTCGCAGAGGAAGAAGATTGTCATCATCCAAGGTGAATACTTGAACAACTTGATAAGCTCTTCGCATTTCATCATCTTGTCTCGAAGCTACGATTGATTAGTTGCAGCAGTATATCCACCCATGTATCAGGGAAACCAGATAGGCACCAGTGCATGCAGTCCTGGCCCTGGCCCCAGATCGACACGGCATCCTTCTGTCCTAACCAAAATGCTGGATGGCCATCACCTCTGAACTCGTTCAAATGTGTCAGATCAACCACGGTGCCTTGTACCGGCCTTCTAATTAGATGGTTGTCATAACCATTTTTTTTATAAACAATTAATATTAAAATAATTATTACTTTATTTTAGAAAATTTGGATTTTCGTTTAATTAGGAGTTTGGAGTTGTCATCGATCATTGGGTTAGGTAGGTCGAATACCTAAAAGCATATTTTAAAATAATTTTAAGAAAAATCGTTTTTAAGACAAAAATTGGTATGCGTTTACCAGAAATTCATTTTTTAATGGTTCGGAATCATTCGTGGGAATGATTACGAAAAATTGGTAATTATGATTTAAGTAAATTTACAATTTGAATTTAAATTTACGATCCCCTTAACTTCTTACGAATTTTTTAAAAGAGTATAAAATTCTCGACTCAGTAAAGGTGATTTAATTCACTCGATTTTATTTAAAAATGATGTTCCCTTCTATGTGAATTAACAGAAATTGAAATCCAGTTATGTTGGACATGATTTCATTGACCCGTGATGTAAGAAAACATTTACCTTTGATTTTTTTTTTTTTGGAAAAATCGAGAAAATGAAGGCATGATGCATGAGTGCAACAATAACAATTGACACATGTAAAATGGATCAAATATTTATATAAAATATGCTAACACTAAACAAAGATAAACAAATAAAATAAGATAAATAAACAATGGTAGACAAATGAATACTTTAAATAAATAAATAAAACAAAAAGGTATTTACATTTATTAAAATAATTTTATTATAAAAATATTTATTTAAAATGACTAAGATATATCTAGTTAACTTATCAAGCAACAAATACTATTTTATTCGAATAACCCTCGGAAGGACACCCCATATTTTTGGACGTCTTCCACATGTTAGTCAAATAATAAATAAAGGATCTCATAAATTTTGTAATATTAACAATAACCCCCTTTTTATTATGAAATATAAGTACATAATATAATATTAAAAATATCCCCTTTTAGTAGTATAAATTTCTCAAAAAATATATACATAAATATTAGTCAAAATACAAAATAAATATACACATGGCACATAAATGGATGATAATATATATATATATATATATAATGAAGAAAATAATAATAAAATATGGGTAAAAATAAATAAAATAAATAAATATATGTATGTATCAAAAGTATAAGGACTAAAATTGGATAAATAAAAAAACAAGGGGGGGCAAATATGTATTATTACGGTATTACCCTTTAATTAGAAACCAAATTGCAAGAAATTAAAATAACCTAGGTTAAATATATAAATAGTCCATAAAAACTAAGGTAGTGACCAAAATGTAATACGCGTAAAATTTAATTAAATACCAAATTAAAAATAATTAAAAGTCTCGACCCAGGATTAAAGTAAGACACGCGTGAAAATATGAGGACCAAACATGTAAATAATCCATAACATATAATATTATTTTGGAGTGGTGACTAAAATATATGTATGGAAACATTCAAGTGTTAAAATACAAATAACTCATGCAATTCATGACTATAAAAGAAGAATAAAAATATGAGTGATTAAAAAGGATTTTACCCTAAGGTAAAACACGGGTTGAGAAGGATCCAAAACGACTTAGTTTTGGGTTTATATAAAAGCCTAAACTAGAGCTTAATTTCATAGCCTTCCTCATTTTTCTTTCTTCTTTAGTCGAGAAGGATTCTCCTCGCTGGAGAGGAACAACTGCCGCTCACCGGTGGCTTTCACCGCCGTTCAAGGTGGTCGGCGAGCAGACAAATACCCAAAAGACTCCTCTCTTCACCCTTGGTCTAGATCCGGGCCTCCTTTTGCCTAAATCCCACCCTAAATGTCCGAAACTATTATTACCTTCCTGCCACAATACATAAATACATACATAGAGGTGGAAAACGGATCATTCAGAGCATTTAAAGAATCTTATCACCTTGTCTGTGTTTCACACCTCCTGCATAATAGAAAATGTCTGAAAAGTCTGTTTTTGCTATAGTTTTATCATGTCTCCCGCCACAATACATACACACATACTTAGAGGTGAAAAATGGGTCATTCGGATCGGGTCATTTTGGATCGTTTCGTGTTTAGATTAATTAGGGTTAGGTCGGATCATTTCGTGTTTCGGTTTTATTCGAGTCTATAGTAAGTCGGGTTGGTTCGAATATCAGATCAGTTGATTTTCAGGTCAGTCAAAATCAGATCAATTATTTTCGATTTGAGTTAAATTTAGATCTTCGGATTAATTCAAGTTAAGTTGAGTATGAGTCAAATCAAGTATATATAGAATTATCGATATATTTTTGTTAAAAAACGTGTACTTTTTTAATCTTATCATTTGTGTTCAATTTCATTCAAGTTCAATTATCATTTAATTCAATTATCATTTAGGAATTATAATTTAACTCAAGCTTGACCAATAAGATATGTTAGATTTTGTGATATTTTTTATTGATCCCGACTGAAAAGTTTATGGTACGATATATTTGATTAAAAAATAAAATTTTAAATATAAATTTTATTATCTATTAAAATTTTAAATTAGATATTAACGCTTAATTATAAATATAATATTTTTTAAAATTTAAAAGTAACAATAATATATTATTTATGTTTGAATAAATATTATTCTAAATATATTTATAAATGATATTATATTATTATATCATTGATAATATTTTAATTTTAAATTATAAATAAAAATAAATATCTTTATATTGTAAAATAAATTATTTGTGTAATATAAAAATAAGTTATTTTTATATTAAATTTAATAAATGTATTTTTCATATATAAAGGAATTTAAATAATTTGTAAATTTATTTAAAAGTTTTGAAAAGTTATTTTAGTAGTTTTAATTTAAAATATTAAACTAATAATGAGTTAATTGTATCATATGTCCCTAAACTATTACTCTTATTTCAACTTAATTCATAAACTTTTAAATATTTCAATTTTATCCTTAAATTATGACTCTCATTCTAAATTAGTCCTTAAACTTTTGAACAATTGAAATTCATCCCCAAAATATAAATCTCTTTCTAAATGGGTCCCTAAACTTTTAGATCTTTCAAATTCATCCCAAATTCGTTCAAATATGTAATCCATTTCAACCATGGGTTAACTAAATTTTATTTCTTTTCAAACATATAATAATATAACTTGGCTAATGATTTTATTAACAAGAGATGTGATTAGTATATATGAATATTTTAGGATAAAATTGAAATATTCAAAAAGTTTGGGGACCAATTTAGGATGAAGATCATAGATTGGGGATGAAAATGAAATGTTCAAAAGTTTGAGGACTACTTTAGAATGATAGTCATAGTTTAAGAATGAAATTGAAATGTTTCAAAGTTTATGGACTAATTTGAAATGAGGGTCATATATTGGGGACATACAACGCAATTAACTTAATAATCATTCATAATTTGATTTAAATAACTTGAAAACCTATTTGATAAGTTATTTTAGTATTTTTACACAGTTTAACCCAATTATTAGGTTAAAACTGATCAACGTTCGATTCAAATTGGGTTTGGGTACATTGAATTTGAATTACTTTCGATTTAACAAAAATTCGAGTCAATTTTGATTGAGTTGGGGTTACTTTCAGTTCGAGATACTTTTGTTTTGGTTAAAATTTGGTTTGATTCGGTTTTTTCGGGTTTTGTGTCAAATTTGGGTCATCATGTTCAGGTTTATTTTTTATCTCAGTTC